GAAGGTTGAGACTTTATCTGTTTTGGTCATTGTTGTAGCCCCAGTGTCTAAAGCAGCGCTTGGAACATAGTGGGTATTAAATAAATAAATTTGTGAATGAGTGATTAGATAAATGGAAGACATTATTCACCACTATCACCACAAATTGGCAGTGTTCACTGAGAATCTATTAACTACAACTAGGGCTAGGTCACAGGAAACTTCAGAGAAATATAAATCATGCTGATTCCCTTTAACAAATAATCTGTTATGTATTAATTAGCACACACACAAAAATAGAAATAATTTCGAAAAATTTGTAATATACAGTTTTATGTAAAAATAGTCCTAAAGTATAGTCAGTCATTATTATTGGATTCTTCACTAAAATAGCTGCTTTGTGGTCTAGGTGTTAATACGATGGTAGACTTTAAAAGCAGAATTAAATTACCTAGTGACTATGGTTAATGTCGGTTTGAGAATACATTTCCATTTCGATTTGTGGTCTCAATATGTGTGGTAAAAGAATTAGCCACAAACCAATTAAGAACACGTATGTGGTTTTCTCTAACTGGAAAATACTCAGAGATGCCCTACTTACTACTTATACACAGTTACCATTTTCTTATTTTCACATTTGAATTCTTATTTAGCATGAGGTTAGCGAACTTATAACAAGTTCTCTGTTACTTTACTTATGTTCCACCTTATTTCAGAAAAAATATAAGGCAACTGTGTAAACACCTGAATTTAATGGCATGATCTGACTTCAGAGACAAGCAATCTAAAAGAAATTTCACTTGTTGAGATAAAACAATTTTTAAGGCTTCTTTCGTGTTCTTTAGAATGTTTAAAAGTCAGATGTCATAAGTACCTTCTAATTCATAATAATAATTGTTTGTTTAATAAGCCTTTTATTATGTGTGCCTCCACCTGCTCCCTGCTCTCTTATCTCGTTTCCTCACTTATCTCCTGTACTCATGACAAGAGCAGTGTTATATTCCTGTCCTGCAGACAAGTAAACTGAAGTACAGAGAGGTGAGGTAACCAGCTCCAAGTCCCACTGTTTATCAAGGGGCAGATCTGGGATCTGAACCTAGGTCTGCCTCTAAAACCCGAGCCCTGTGCTCCTCATCACCAGGATGTGCCCTTCTTGTCCTCTCATGGTGCTCACAGTGATCTCCCTGCCGGTGAAGGAGGAAGAGGCAGCACCAGAAAATATGCACTGAGAGTTAAAAACCTGAGCTGAGCTCGAGTAGCTGTTGCCACCTGCACGCCATGTAACCCCCTCACCCCACCCACCCACCCGCCTTAGAGAGCCAGCCTCACAGAGATTCCTCGACGGCCTGCTGAGGTTATCTGGCTCAGGTAGTGGCAGTAAGTTTAAAATATAGATACGTAATTTCTGTAGTATTTTGATTCATAAATGCATTTATTGCTTGGTAGTGTAAAGCTGGTTCGTTCTTTCCTCCCCGGAGTTCTGTGTCTCAGCAAGCATGTCACTCTGGATTCCAGCAGATCTAAGTGGCTGCTGGCAAGTTATAATCCTGGCTGGGACACTGTGGGGCTGCAGAAATTCGGGAGCTGCTGAATAGACAGACGGTAGTAATAGGACCTGAAATGGAGCTCTAGGGACTTCATAAAACGCCAGTGATTTTTAAAATCTTGCTTTCCCACGAAGGCTATCAAGTCAGTCCCCTGGGACAGAGAGCAGTCGACGGTATTAGTCACAGAAATCAGGCCAGGGCTTGGTTCAGCAGCACAAATACTATAATTGGAACAGTGCAGAGAAGATGGACACGACCCCTGATCAAATATGACATACAAATTTGTGAAGCATTTCTATTCTCTAAATATAAGAATGTAGGGTACTTGTCTTTTCACCATTGTTGCACCATTGTTCAAATTCCAAGGTTATTTCTCTTCTAAGTTAGCATATGTATATCAAGTTAGGTTTCACAACGCAATACAATAATATACCAAACAGATAAAATAGAGACAAAGCCTAGACCATGGCCACAGCTATCAAAACACAGAAGAAAGATGAAATAAGAAAATAATATTTTAAAAAATGCTTTGGGGGCGGCCCAGTGGCATAGTGGTTAAGTTCACGCATTCCACTTCGGTGGCCCTGGGGTTGGCTGGTTCGGATCCTGGGCGCGGACCTACTCACTGCTCATCAAGACATGCTGAGGTGGCATCCCACATAGAAGAACTAGAAGGACCTACAACTAGGATATACAATCATGTACTGGGGCTTTGGGGAGAAAAACGAAAAAGAGTAAGATTGGCAACAAATGTTAGCTCAGGGCCAATCTTTCTCCAAAAAAAAAAAAAAAGCTTCACCTTCTTTTGGTGGCTTTTAAGGGTGATGGAGAGAAAGTTGTTAAAAATGGCAAACTGAGGATATGAGAAAGGCGGCATGCTGTTGACAACTATGGAGAGACTGGCAAGATGTGCCGATTTGCACGGAAGGATAATTGAGTTGTAAATATGCTGTAGCTTTGGTCTCCGGCGGATATCCAAACGCAGCTCCCAGTGGGAGCACAGATACGTGGTAGTGGTCGTATGTGTGGAACAGCGATGGAAGCCAGGAAGGCGAGTGAGCCGAGGGGAAGAGCTGGGGAAAGGCGGGTGCCGAGGGCTGCCCTCAGTGTGGTGGGGCAGGAGGAGGAGGGTGGAGACGGCAGGCGGAGGGTCGGAGGAGAGATGTCACTAAGCAGACGTGAGAGAGACGAAAGGGCTCTCGCCTAGAAGACAGGGTCTGGGAAGCCAAGGGAGGTAAGAATTTGAAGTAATCAAGAGCGACAGATGCCGAAAAGAGGATTCAGGGGACTTCACCTTGGAAAGCACACCATTTTGGAAGAGTAGATTCATGGGAAAAGTGAAGGCAGAAATCACAACAGAAGGCCAAAAGAGCAAGTGGAAATGGTAACTTGATGTAATTACCACGGATATTGACAATCTGACTGAGAGGCTTAAGAAAAGGAAATAAAAAGACTGGTAGTTCAAAGCGTTCAAGAAATGTAAACTCAGTGAAATCTAGTGAAAACACTTTCCTGTTATGAATGGATCTGATGATAGATAACAATGTTTAACAGACTGAGGGGCCCAATCCTTATCTCTGCAGATTTCCCTCACAAGTTCTAAACCAACTGAGAGAAACCAGAGAGTCAGCAGGTGAAAATCAAAATATGAAAATATTTATATCTTAAATATTTATTTAAATTTTGTATGATATTTATTACTGATGAAGCTTGATAATGGAGAGCACAGCTTTGGAATGTGACAACAGTAAACTTTCCAGTACCGATCCTCCTAGAATAAACAGATTTCCTGCCCTCACCCCTAATCACAGCTGGCCCTAGACAGTGCAGGCCCCCACATGGGGGGCTCACTCCTCTAAATCTTACAGCAAATTGGAGGAGTAGACCAGAACAGGTCCCCTCTGTAGTCTTCTGACTCCGGAGAGAAAAAGGGAGAGAGGAAGGGACTGAGGTTCACCCGCGCAGTTGTTCATGAGTAGAATCATCTCTATCTTCAAGAGGAAAGAGTGAGTGAAGGGCAGGACAAGAGGCAGGAGGTTTAAGGGCAATTCCTCCTCACAGAAACCAGAAACTGGAGGAAAGAAACATTCCCCAGCATTCCCCTCACCACTACTCCCGACGCCCACTTGCTAAAAATATGGTGGAGTAGATATTTTTAAGAGATTTAAAAGAGAGGTTCAAATTTTCTGTCCAAAGCCAACATCAACTAATAAAATTTTACATTTTAGCCTTAACAAATAACATTTGAAATTTTACCAAGTTTAACTGGCTGGTTAGAGATCTTCAATCATTCAATTATAAAAACTTAGACAAATATAATTTGAAGTAACATTTTAATAGCTCTCTCTGTCTCTCATTCAAACTAGGTCTCTGCCCTCTCTCTTCTCCATCCTCTTTGTCAAGAAATGACGTCCTTTCCCCTCATCCAGTCAGCCACCAGGTACAGACAGTTCTACTTTCAAAATCCACAGAAGGTCTTTCTGACCTGGTCTGCTCTACTTACGGTTAATTCCTGCACTTTCATGCTCCAGAGTATTGAACTTACTGAACTTTCTCATAAATGGCATGCCATTTCATTTATTTGTTTTAGAACATGCTGGGTTTTTCTGCCTGGAACGTTGGTCTTCTTCTACCCTATCTAGATCTCTCACCCCATCCTGACCTCGAATCCCATTCTTACCCCTCACCCTACATCTACATCTGGTAGAAATGTCTGACTGAACCCCTATGCAAGGCTCCTTCCAGAGGGTGCTCCTTTATTTCAAGCTATGTCCAGAGCTGACTTATCCAGTAGGCACAGTAGGCACAGTGCCCAGGGTCCTGGATACTTTTAGGAGTCCACAAAAATGTTTAATTGCATTTAAAATCAGAAGAAAAAATGAACTGTTAAGTCAAAGAAAATGTTTTACTATGTAACATTCATATATTTGCTCTTATACCAACAGTTGTAAAACCTAACTTATATGAACATATGTATGTGTATATATAAACATAAACACACCCACACACATATATATACTTTTTTCCTTTTCTTTTATTTTTTTGCTGAGGAAGATTCACCCTGAGCTAACATCTGTTGCCAATCTTCCTCTATTTTGTATGTGAGCCGCCACCACAGCATGGCCACTGACAGACGAGTGGTGTAGGTCCACGCCTGGGAACTGAACCTGGGCCACTGAAGCAGAACGTGCAGAACTTAACCACTAGGCCACCGGGGCTGGCCCATATACTTTTTTTTCTTAATGGAAGAAGGGGTCTATGAAGGCAAAAGTACTTAGGGCCCACGAAAGTCACACTTTGGCCCTGGATAGTCTTGAATTTCTTTTTTAAAATTCTCAAAATAAAATCAATTTTGATTCATTTTTTCAGTAAAACGTTGCATTCTGAAAGCAGCCCAAAAAGGTAGCATCAAAAAATTGAGGAATAATTAATTTAAACCAAACATAACTGGTGATTATAATGTTTTTTTTTAAGCTTAGAGACAGAAGAAGAGCAACAATATCTCACCTTGAATTGTGTTAACATCTCCACTGATTCATTAAAAGGAGGCAAGAGTTATCTGGTTTGGGTCCAAGCGGCAAATGTACTGGGCACGGAGAAGTCGAAACAATTGCAAATTCACCTGGATGATATAGGTAAAGAACAAGAAAGTCTATAATGTCTTTACAAAGAAACAATCGATTTGTGCTGACCTAGTCAAATGAAGTCTAGATCTGAGAGGAGGTCTCTGAAAGTTCCTGCAGATCATGATAAGGAAAACAAGAAATATCCATAATCTACCTGCCCAAGACAATTCAAAGATAAGTACTGCTACCATTTTGTTGTATATCCTTCGAGTCTAATTTCTCTTTGGGTGTATGTGTTTTTACAAATACTTATTGATAATGTCTTATGGTCAAGCATTGTTCCAGGAGCTACGGAGAATAAGATAGACAAGGTACTTGCTGCCCCACATATCTTGCAATCTACCAGAGAAGATGGAAAGAAACAAGGACCATGGTAGTGTGCTATGAGTCTCATGTTGTGAGAAGTACAACACTCTAAAGAATTCTACTGTATACACTATTGTGCGAGTTAGGCTTTTGTTTGTTACTATTTTGAAAAGTTTTGCAACATAGAAAATTGTGGAGAATTATGTAGACATCTCTGTGTTCACCAACTAGATTTAACAAATGTTAACATTTTTTGCTTCAGATATTTTTAGACCTTGCCTTTTTTAACTTACAGTATAGAATAAATATTTCTATTAATTTAGTCTACAATATTATTTTTAATGGATGTCTTTAACTATCCCCTTTCTGTTAGAGATTTAGGCTGTTTTCAAATTTTTACCATTAAAAACTATACTGCCATGAACAACCTTTTGGTTGTTTTTGCACAGTAGTTGGTTTTTCCTGTAAGATAAATTCCAAAAATTACAAAAATTTCCTTAAGATAAATTTCCTTAAGATAAGTGTCCTTGAGCCTTTTACAACTACATCTCAGTCCTAGAGCCAGAGTTCAGCCAAAGAGCACCAAGTGTGAATCACCCTCTATCTGGAGATCCTAGTGCCAATTATTCTTGTTTTCACTATGAAGGATGATTTCAGCAAGCTAACATTTATGGGGCACTTTCTTCAGTGCTAAGTGCTTTTACATACATTATCTTATTTAACTCTCACAGTAACCCTATTTTGTAGAAAAGACTATAATTTACTCACAGGGAAACCAAGGCGAGGCAGCATTAGGAAATCTGAGATTGCAGAGCTAGAGAGCTTCTAATTCCAATTTCCTTGCCTCCTATCCTCAATCTTTATTTAAAAGCGCATTGCTATGTGTCTGACAACCTTCCTGCTGAGTAATGATCTAGAGGATGTGATACCTTCTCCTGGGGTACAACATGGGTATCTTTTGGGGATCACTGGAGTCTTCTGTTGGAACTAATGTCTCCACGTCTCAACTTCTGTCTTGACTAAACTCAACTATCTCAACCAACAGGATTGGTCTAAAAATCTGTCCTCATGCCCTGGATATTGGATTTGAAAACAAACGCTGCTGATGAGGGGGATGAACAACAACTCCATTGTATTTTGTGTTCTTGGAGTTATAGTCTCTTGACTGTGATCTACACATTTTTGTAAATTTACACTTTGAAGTAGAATGCCGTAGAATGCCCTTTTCTTAAAACAGCTTCCCTTTGATGGATTAATGATGTTTAAAGGCTATTGTGTCTAGTATCATTTTGGCAATGTCATTTTTAGGAACTAAATTATTATTAGTAGTATTACTGTTATTATTATCATTGTGATCTTATTATGATCTTAATATCATCTCATCCATTTATTGAACATCTACTATGTTCCAGACAATTAACATGCACATCACATTAAATTCTGGAAACAATCATACTTGGTACTACTGTGCCCATTTTATAGATGAAGAAAGAGATAAAATCATTTGCCCAAGGTCACATAGCTAATAAGGAGGAGAGTTAGATTTCATCCCAGACTTGCCGTAGTTAACCACCACCCCACCTCCCACCAAGGGAAAATCTCATCTGGCCACCACCTCCAAATCTGGGTTCTCAAACTGTGAACCACGGAGCCTCTGGTTTGGAGTTGTTATTCTCCTCCTCCTCCACCCCTTCCTCCTCCTCCACCTCCTCTTCCTTTTTCTTTCTCATTATCGAAAATAGACTCTTAGAAATTCAGGTTGAAAAATACAAGTTGACAGTGTAGGAGGCTCCACCTAGCAAAGTCACTAGATTATTCATGGATGAGCTATACTCAATTGTGACACTTTAAGAATGAGACATTGCAAGTTAGATAAATGAACTCTTTTATTAAACTGAGGACAGAAGACTCTCCTGGGAGCAATTTCCACATAACAGCTACGGGATTGGGCTTTAATTAAGTTGGGGAGGCTGTGCTGAGAGGCAGGACTGAGTTAATAGCACAGTAATGCTGTTCCAAAATGACATGAGAGAGGAATGCTTAAACTTCTCTTGTAGAGAAATACATTCAAACACAGATAGCATAGTGCCTTCTGGCTGCCATTTTGAACATTAATTCTCTTGGGTAATTATGGGTAAATACATGTTGTTGGAAAGATACCAAATAACTACCATTGGTTCTTTATTTCAATACAAGTGGAAACTGATAATATGGCATCTATGATGATCTGACAGTTTGGGGTGGTTTTTTTTTGCAATTTTTAAATATTTCATGGCAGGCAAAACTGAACAATTTTATGGATAAATAGATATGATGTAAAAAAATAAATGAAAAGCAGTAGAACTATTACCATAAAGTTAAGGATAGAAGCCACCTCTGGTGGGCAAGGAAAAGAGGTTTGGGAATGACAGCCAATCAATAATGTCTTCCACAGGATCTAATTTAATTTGTTTGTTTTTCAAATGGATAGCCAAAATATTCATCATTTCCTTCTTATTATAGATATTTCCTTTTGTAGTTTTATCATATACTTTTATCATATGCTAAGTTCCCTTTTACGGTGGGGTCTGGATTTGACAACTTTTTAAAGATGTAAGATCTTATGGGAATGTTTGAAACCTAAGCAATGAGAGCAAAAATTCAACATTTGAGTCTTGTGTAACAAGTTACATGGTCAAGTACGTGTTATATAACATAAGTTCATTTGAAAAAATAGGAGCTCATTTAAACCTAAAGGCTTGGATCGCTACTGCTCCGTGCTAAGACGCTATCTTAATTCTGACTTAAATGTGATCTGCATTTCTCATTGGACTACACAGACTTTTGATTCCTCTCCAGAATATTTCTTTCTGCAAAAGTGTCTCAGACTGCTTGTGCTGCTATACCAGTGGCAGGCCAAACTCAGAGGTGGGAGGCAGGAGGGGGCGGGTAATTTACGTATAGCCTTGAGGGTGCTTACATGGTCCCAAATGGTCTCAGAGCCCTGGAGATCCACTTCCCTGATCCCAGAAATCTCTGAATACTGATTCTTATTACAAGAAGCTTATACTAACTAGAGGAAACCAACTATGAAACTCAGATGATAAAAGTTCAGTACAGTAAGCTCTTTAATTAGATTAATTCTGCTACCACTACTACTTCTGTCCTACGCTAGGTTTAGCCCAAAGATTTTATTATAAGACTGTGCTACTAGAGAGCAAATATTTAATTTTTATATTTCTCTATACCTATGCACATAATTTTAGATAATACTTATTGACAATAAAACAATAATTTCCCCAAAGAATACTTTATAAACTTAGAATAAACGAAAAGAAAACTAATTCATACAGAATATTAAACTCTAACAATGGTCCCTAAAAACACACAAACAGGCTCTTGAGTTCTTTGTTAAATAATACATCTAGCAAAATTACAGGTTTTCATTGTTTTCTCATGCATATAGGAGAAATGGAAAGTGCCAATGACTCTATTCTGGTTGGACAGAACAGACTCACAAGTATTTACACAGTTTAGAAATACAGAGATTCTAGTTATGCCATCACTCCTAGTACAACAAAATAACTAGTAGGGTAACCAATCAGAATTTCAGTTCCCTTTTGAAAGTTATTATCATAGAGCATGGCAATAATTGGTAAAACCTTAGAGTCTTGAGAGACTTGCTTTGTTCAAATCATACTTTCAAGTACAGATTTATTTTAATGGAGAAAAAAACAAGTTAGCAATAAATATAACTATTCATACAAATTTCCCTATAACACAAGAAAATAAAAATAATATTGTGAAAGGTCTCAATTTAACATCTTGTCAAATCAAATTCTCTGAACTAAATTTAGGATGCACAACATTGTCTCTCCCTAAACAGATGCAGCAAAGAAGAGATATTGCCTCTATTTCTTCTTCACACTCTTGTTAAGAATGCCAGGTTCTGGAATTTCATTAGTTAGGATTATAGGAGGGTGAGAGGTGGGGGAAAGAGAAGACTGTTAGAGTTCCATTTCAAAGAAATGGAGAATGGGCTGAATAGAATTTTACTTAACAACGGCAATCTTCTCCTACATAATAGATTAGAAAACAAGAAAAAATTCATTAATTGTTCATTAGCTCATGAAACTGTTTTTTAGTACTTTGAGTTTTAACATGTCTACATATTGATGAAAAGATACTGATTTCTCCCTAGACAAGTTTTAAATTGCTGGGGTTTTGTTTTTGTTTTACTCTAGTGATACCTTCTCCATCCATCATTTCCAGGGCGGAGGATATAAATACTACAGTGCCCAAGACCATAATTCACTGGAATAGTCAATCAACAATAGAAAAGGTTTCCTGTGAAATGAGATACAAGGCTACAACAAACCAAACCTGGAATGTAAGCTAACTTTCACTGTTCTTTAGCGTGTAAGTTAACAAAAGAAAAGCCAACCAACAGTCAGTGACCGAAGTGGATGTATAACGGTCTATTTTACCTGTTTTGTGTGATATTCAATCCACTCTAGTTTTAGTTACCTGTTTTGTGTGATATTCAATCCACTCTAGTTTTAGTAATAATTACCATATGCTTCCAAACAGAGAGATGTTTCCTGAAAAGGTCCTCTTGTCTTTTGTAAACTGCTAACTAGACAAATGTCCAACTAAGAGGGATCCATCCATTTAGCTCCTTGTAATTCAGCGTCTCCTAGGGTGAAATTTATATCAGTGATCACGGACATAAAGTTAAGGATTCTATGCTGAAATTTAACAGGTCTCCAGGGAAATAAAAACTGTTCAAAAAGAACTTCAGATTTATGGGTATCTCTTTCTAAATGAAAAATGTGCAATTCAAAATTTCGGATTTGTTACTAGTATAGGCTTGGTCTTAGATGAGCGTAAGGTAAAAAGTGAAAGTCTAGACAAGCCAACCATCCTTAAATACCAACGGTTAAGTTACCATGTGCCTTAGGAGAGACGTAAACTTCAAGGTTGATTAATAAAATCACATCATATCACAGCACCTGTGAACATTATAATAAAAATTCGCTAATTTGAACCATGGGGGAACACTAGTCTGATTGAAAAAGTTCCAATTTTGGTGTATTTGAAAAGAATGCCATTATATTATTTTCGAGTACAATAAATTGCCATTTAATCAAAATAGTTAAGGAATGGATTTTCTGGCTTTGCTTAATTAAGAGTTATGTATCATGTATGAATTTACCAGCTTTCAGGGAGTTAAATGAAATGATGTGTATTTGACACTAATCTTTGGTGATTGGTGTGACTCCAAAGCCTTCTCCTGCTCCAGCCTCATCGTCCTGAACAGAGGCTTTGCTGTGGAGCAGTGTGTTTAAACAGTGTCAAGAAGATGAGGGTTCAGCTCTACTGATTTCATGACGTACTCTAAAGATTGTTCTGCAGCAATAAATCCCTGATGTCATCTTGTTTTTTTCTCTTGTTCAGAATGTGAACTTTATAGCTGTTTAGGTTACACTTAGATGTGAGTCCGTGTTTGCATCATTGGGTCAGTAACCGAGTGCAGATCCCGCTGGGCTCCTTGACTAAATAACCACGGCAGCTGTGTGCACAGCAACCCCACAGCCCGGGGCAAGCGAGATAAAAACAAAACAAAAACCCACAGCCAATCTTTTGCATATGTGGATTTTATGTAAATTTAAAAACAACCCAAACGAAATTCTCAAGTCCTAGACTTTGAGTTAATGGGATTTTACTCTAATAGACACCTGGGGCCCTTGTGTGGTGTCACGGTCATAGGATGATACTAAGAATATGAAACTCCTTTCTTCGGCGTAAGTAGGAGGAGGTAATAGGCTATAAGAATGTTTAGAAAATGGAGAGGGATTATATTATTAGTGTCTCTGAATAGGTTTTCAGAAACCAACTGTTTTCTGGTTGAAGCTCGTGTTCTCTTGTCCCTTGCCCTGGTAACTTAAGAGGTAAATTTGAGTTACTTTTCAAAATCTTCCCTTTATCAGAAGAAGGCAAATGTAGGAGCTAAGAGAATATCTGTTATCTTGTTTAATCTTCATAACAACCTTCTGTGATAGGTAGTATCAGCCCTATTATAGAATGAGGACAGAGGGCTCGAAGAAGTTTAAGCCAGGTTCTCCAAACTTACACTGTTAGTGACTAAGTGCCTCTCACGACCCTACATCACTTTGGGCACCCAAAAATATTTGGAAAATGAAGGAACAGATTTCCCTCCAAAACCTGTATCCTACCCCTTCTCCTAGGATTCTCCCACATGTAACCACTCCCACAGAAAAGGTGGATTACTGTTTCCATCCCGATGAGCCACGTCCAGTCCGTAAGAGCCAGAGTGAGGCTTTGATTTTCACATTTGCCACCCCGTCAGTTTCGTCCGGTCATGCATACAATGCTGTCTTTGCCTCCGTGTGGGGAGACCGGAGGTCAGAGTCACGAAGAGTGGGAGGACACCCAGGACTCCGTCAGATACTGCAGGAGGCAGCCTCTTTACCTCAAAGTGGCGGGCAGCTGCACAGCTCAGCGCACAGGCTCCAGTTCAAAGCCTGGCTCTGGCACTTTCTAGTTGTGCAGCCGTGGGCAAGTTCCTCATCTCTCTGAGCCTCATTATTCCATTACCAAAAATAGGACTATGATAGGCATCTACTCCCTATGGTTGTGGGGAAGATCAAATGATGTAAGAAGGTAGCCCAGAGCCTGGAATGGAGTTAATGTTCAGTAAATGCTGGCTGTAATTGTTACTCTTCATCTTATTATTACTGCTTCATTTTAACCTGCTGTCACGCAGCAGGCGTGGTAGAGCACCTGAAAATCAAAATCAGCGCCCTGAGTGTGCTTTCGAGCCCTTTTTAGCTAAGCTGCATATGGACTATGAGGTATTGGCCAGTCCTTCAGGTGATCCAGCAAGGCTGACACCACGGGGAGAATATTTATCTACTTGTTGGTCATCTTCGTGAACTGTCTCGCTGTTACCTAAACCTTGTGTCAAAATTGCGCTCACAATCCTCAGCAGCAAACCTTGCTCCCTTCTAGGCCCTTATCTCAGGAGCAATTGCCACGTTGTCTGTATTTACGTGTTTACACCTCTAGTTCCCCATCCTTCACCTATGAGCCCCTGGAAAACAGGGTTGCTCCATAATCACTTTTGTATCTTCCCTGATTTTTATAATGGCTAGTTCATGTAGATAATATTTTGAAACATTCACTATTAGTAGTATTATTTGCCTTTAACGGTGCCCAACAGCAGTGACAGTAAGGCAGGGAAATCGTGGCTGTAGGTTCACGTAAATGGTGGCTCCTTTCTCTAATTAAGCTAGACCAGGGTATTGGCAAACTTTTTGTTCAAGGGCCACATAGTAAACATTTTAGGCTTTGCAGGCCACAGCTCTCTGTCCCAACTACTGAACTCCGCATTTGTAGAGTGGAAGCCACCATAGACAATATGCAAATGAATGGGCATGGTAAAATTTTAATTTTGGACACTGAAATTTGAATTTCATACAATTTCCATGCATCATGAAATATTCTTCTTTTGATTTTCTTTCAACCATTTAAAAATATAAAAACCGTTCTTAGCTCATGGGCTGCACAAAATCAAGCATCCATTCTTGCCCAGGAAAGGCTAGTAGCACAGCACGCAGAGCAGAGGGTCGAATCCTTGGCCTTGGCATTTCAAAAGCGTAAGTGCTGGTAGAAGACAGAAGACTTGGAAGAACAGGTGATCAATGAAGACCAAGTTTCCCAGTCACCACCCCCCTCCTCCACCAAACACTGGGTAAAGACTGCCTGGGCAGAGAGAGGGGGCCATTGGGGGGTGGGGTAAGGACGAGGAACCAAAAGAGTTTAGACACTGGTGGGTCACAGAGAAGAGCCCCCACATCCTGGGCCATGACCCAGGTTGGGAGTCAGAGCAAGTTGGGATTGTAGAACTCTCTGCATAGGCTAGAGACTCACCTTCCCTGCATCCAAGGGTGCTCCCAGAAACGTAGATGCAACCCTAAGAAAAGACGTGCCTCAGACTGAAGGAGGTTAAGTTTCCATGCTGCCACCTTCAGAATTGAGGCTCTACGTAGAAGTTAACTGCTATAAAAAATAAAGTTATATTTCTTGCACTTGGTATCTTACCCTCTCTATGGGCAGTCTGCTGGGTCTGGCTCTCTCAATGTTCATTTCAGCCTCTGAAAGATCACGTTGAGGTATCATCTTGTGCTTGCAAGGCCCTAAGCAGTCACCTGGTTTGCCTCATAGCAGCAACAACTCTGTTAACAGTTCCATAAAATTCTTCTTTGATGAGAGGATGAGAGATGAGAGATGATGAGGTGACAGTGATGAGAGAGGATGAGAGATTATAAAATAGATGAGAAGATGGTGCAAAAAGACTGGGCAGTGTTCCGCCCTGCTGCCCACAGGGCCGCGCCGAGTGGGAATCCACTCGGCAGCACTAACAGCAAGAAGTTCTTCTTTCTTTGTTGGAATTCTGGCTGTACTTTAGGGTACTTCTCTTCTTCAAGAGGACTTATCTATCAACATAATGGCAAGAGACATATTAAGGAATAACAACTCCCCTCCAAGAGAGGCTAATATGAAGCAGAGTGCATTAGAAAGTCAAACTTGCAGCACAAGTAACGTCTCTCCTGGGTCCCAGGAGACCCCAGATGCCACTGGTCATATTTACAGAGCAGAAAATTCCAAGGGCCACGGGTAGAGATGTGGCTTATGGAAACTCTGAATGATATCTTATGGGGAACATGACATCCCCAAATCGAAATTTTCATGATTTTCACATTTTCAATGCAATGCAAGTTTTAAAGATTTATGTTAAGATTGGGTTTTAACAGAAAAATCCCTAAATAAGGTTGATAACTTGTTCTTTTCTTTTTTAATCTTAATAGTTTCAACTTTCTCTTCTGTGAGTGTCTGGTAACTGTTTTCTCTCAGTTGCTGCATAAATGCGTTTCTAGACATACGTTATGTTTACCTTTCAATTGTGCTTCACTTTTTTCACTAAATCCACTTGTCACAACCTACTGAAGGTGCTGTGTAAATGCCTTGGTTTCTCCCTCCTGTCTCAACCAGCTTGTTTGTGGTCGTTTACCATGTTTTATAGCAGGTTGTAGTGCCCCAGAAAATGATGAGTAAGTTTATACTTCAGCTATTTTCTGCTTATCTTCCATTGGGTTTTCACAGTTCAACATTCTTAATGTTTTATTTTCTCTCACACACACACATATATATATTAGGCCTTATAGAATCTGCATAAATCTGCAATAAATATCAATTTAACAGCTCAGCTTATGAGTAATTTTTTCCAAAAGTCATCATTAGCAAGTGAAATTATTTCGTCACTCATGAAGAATTATTGATCTAAATATCCAACTGCAGGGAGAGAGATTGAGAAGAAGGGAAGAGAGACTGGATTCAAACAATTGCTATTAAGTCCCCCACTTCTCCTACCCTATTAAAATCAGCTGTTCCAAAATTAAGACTATATTGGGGCCGGCCTGGTGGCATAGTGGTTAAGTTCACGCATTCCACTTCGGCGGCCTGGACTTTGCTGGTTTGGATCCTGGGCACAGACCTACTCACAGCTCATCAAGCCATGCTGAGGCAGCGTCCCACATAGAAGAGCTACAACTCTACAACAATGATACACAACTATGTACTGGGGCTTTGGGGAGGAAAAAAAGAATTTATTACACTGTGGACCTGCTTGAAATTTAAAAGCTTGAGAGAGCTGTCAAACACAAAACAATGTGCATTTCACTTTTAATGTTAAATAACATGTATTTGGTTATTTTTTATTCTTTTTTTTTTTTTTTGGTGAGGAAGATTAGCCCTGAGCTAACGTCTGTTGCCATTCCTCCTCTTTTAGTTTATTTTTTATTTTATTTTATTTTTTTTATGAGGAAGATCAGCCCTGAGCTAACACCCATGCTAATCCTCCTCTTTTTGCTGAGGAAGACCGGCTCTGAGCCAACATCTATTGCCAATCCTCCTCCTTTTTTTCCTCCCCTAAAGCCCCAGTAGATAGTTGTATGTCATAGCTGCACATCCTTCTAGTTGCTGTATGTGGGACGCAGCCTCAGCATGGACGGAGAAGTGGTGCGTCAGTGTGCGCCTGGGATCCGAACCCAGGCCGCCAGTAGCGGAGCGCGTGCACTTAACCGCTAAGCCACGGGGCCGACCCATCATTCCTCCTCTTTTTGCTGAGGAAGACTGGCCCTAGGCTAACATCCATGCCCATCTTTCTCTACTTTATATGGGACGCCGCCACAGCATGGCTTGACAAGCAGTGCGTCAGTCCGCGCCCGGGATCCAAACCTGCGAACCTGGGCCAACGAAGCAGAGCATGCGCACTTAACTGCTGCGCCATCGGTATGGCCATGTTTTATGCAAAGCACCCTATTGCTCTTTGTTTTCTCAGTGTCTAAAGAGTGCCTGGAACATTGTAGATGCTCCATACATTTCTGCTAAATGGAGTAATTGTTTGTTTTAAAGGCACACTGTATCATTTCATTATTGTTATTCATCCATTTTAGGTTAAAGAATTTGACACCAATTTTACATACATGCAACAGTCAGAATTCTACTTGGACTCAAACATTAAGTACGTATTTCAAGTGAGATGTCAAGAAACAGGTAAAAGGTACTGGCAGCCCTGGAGTTCACCTTTTTTTCATAAAACACCTGATAGAGGTGAGTGTATTTATATATTTGATCACTTAGGCTTTTCTTTGGACTTCTGTCTCTCTTCTAAGTATATATATTTTTTCTCCTTGACTTCTATCAAAGTTGACAAAACTATTCTAGGGCAGGTGGCAACATTTAAATTGTGATTTCACTTTGATTTTGTTAAGGCTGACCACAATTTATGTAATGGTTTTCAAACATGCCTGGGCATAAAAAACACTGAAAACTGCCTGACATGCATGTTTACCGTCCCTGCTCCCAGAGGGTCTGAGTCCCCGGGTCTGAGGTAAGGGGAGAGGGGTGCTCAAAATTCAGCATTTGTTACAAAGACCCTGGGTGATTGCGAGGCATATTATAATTTAAGACCTCGTTTCGAAAAATATTAAGTTACATTAAACTGTTTAGGCCACTACTGATAAAATATATTCTCCTAAGAGAGACACAAATCAAATCTTATCAATGAATATTGATTACTTACTATATGCAAAGCAATTAGAAAGAGTTAAAACACTTAAATATATGGAATTATTTAATATTCTTCTCAACAAGATCTAGCTAACCTATTTTTTATCTTTAGATATTTCCTGCTCTTAATATTATCAGTTTAATTTTCTATCCATTTACACATGTCATTCAATAAAATCTTAGCCCAACAGACTTCAGTTGTAAGCAAACAATAAAATGAATCTATTGTAATTGTTGTAATACTCCGTAACGGCCCCATTAACCTGAAGATGTCTCCCTACTGTTAGGTAGCTTATACGTTAGATTTAAATCTGTCTTTCAGAACTGAAGGGCTTAATTATAATCACAGTATTGTTAATATCATCTTTGTTATAACGTAACATCTTGAAACTGTATTTTATGTTTCAAAGTACTTTGACATACATTGTAAATATTGATGGCCGCCAAATAAGGCAGTTGAAGCCACCAAGTCTAGCTAAAAAGTTCTTTTGGTGCCCCCTAATGCTCAAATCTTAGAAACACACTATTAAGGGACTCGTGCAATACCAAGTCCCAGTTCTCTTTTTTCCAAGTTAGTTTTTAATTTATGATATTCTGTCCTAAGCCGGTATGGTTAAAAATTCTTAGGACTTTACATGCCATTTTATAATAGTCAGCATGTAGTTGATAATCCAATTATTTTTAAATTAAATCTGAAATTGTCTAGCAAGATTATTCAAATTGAGACTTACCACGTACCAAGGACTACTACGTGTAAGCTGGCTTGACCTTTACATCAGCCATGTCTGGTAGTGTAATCGGCACAATTTTACAAATGAGGAAACTGAGGCATGGCTTGCTAAATAGCACGTTGCCGGTGGGCAATGGCACCTAAACTAGAACACAAGTTTTCTTAACTCACCACCAGCCCTCAGCAATCTCGTCAATCTCGTTCCTAACCAATTACATCCAAGTGGAGGAGCGGCTGACTAAAGTATCCAGCAGGTCAAGTCCTGGACCACAGATGCTCTCCTTTAAAGTAAAGGTCTTAACCCTCGGGTGGAAGCGAAAGGAACAACACCACTACCCTGCAACACGTCTAGATGTAAAGTCTTTGTTTCCTAAGGAAAAAAAATCACGTAAGAGGCAAAATACCAGTTAAAATTAAATATCCCTGAAAACTTGTGTCTATCCAAGTTTAACAGGTTAGCGAAAAAGAACCATAGACAGATTCCTTTCTAAGACACGTTAAAGGAGAAACAGTGAATGTTGGAGAAAGTGCTAATTTTAAATCTGTTTGAAAATTTATCTCTTTTCTTCTGCTTGTAAAAGCAATACAAGTTTATTGTAATTTATAATCTAGATATAACTGCTGTTTATATTTTAACGGATTTAATACTAGTTTTTTCCTATGCACATATTTTTTAACCATTGGTGCTATGGTGTATACACTGTTTTATGCTCTGATTTTCTTATTTAATCTATCTTGTTGAGTTTAAAAACCTATTTAATGGCTGCACAGCATACCAGTTTATGAACGTACTATAATTTATTTAATCATTTCCCTATTTTAACAATATCTAGGTTATTGCATTTTTTTCCATTAACAATAAACTTCTTTGAATAGCTTTGTATATAAACTCTCCTATGTCTTTGGGTCTTATTGGATCAAGAGTTAAGCACATTTTAAGATGCTTGTTGCAAATTGCCAAATTGCTTTTTAGTAAATCTTTAATATCAATTACTTTTTTTAAAGGTATCCGTGAAAAGCCAGTCATTCATTTAGTCATTCATGAAGTGTTCATTTACACCCTACCATGCACTAGGTGTTCTCTAAAATTCTTACGTGTGTGTAACTGAATTGATTCATCTCAAAACAAGGCATTTTCAAAATTATGTCCAGATGGCACTGCAGGGCAAATCGTAAAGTAGGTACGGCTTGTCCTACGGGCCCTCAGCATTCTTGTGGTTCACTTCCCCTCTGGATAATGCCTTTCCTTGGCCTTTAAAAACCTAGTCTCCAAAAGAAACTGAACAAACTCCGTTACAGTAAGGGTTCAATGACTTACAAGACTTATTATCTTTTCCTTCCCTGGAGTAGTTGGACTTCAAGGGAAAACAAAACCTTATACTAAAAAAGAAAAAGAAAAAATCAATATCTTAGAATATAATATCAGGCTTTAGAAAACACACGGGAGAAGTTTTTCTGGGTTAGAGACTCACATTTTTCTCTCCTGGTACAATAGCAAGAGGCTAATTGACTGAACCCAGGGTGACTTCAGGATAATAAATAATGATAGCTAACCTTGATCAGACGCTCACTGTGTGTTGGGCACTGTGATAAGCATTTTACATATGAACTGTCATTTCCTCATCACTGCAGCCCTAAAATATTATTATTCCAATTGTGCAGATGCAGAAGATGAGGCCCAGGGAGATTAAGCAGTTTTGCCAAATGTCACAAAGCTGGTAAATGGTGGAGCCAGGGCATAATCAGGCTGTGGGATTCTAGCACCTGAATCATAGCGCTGCTGGTTTCCTTCCGAGGAGACCTAGGAGTGTCCTGTGTCCGCCTCCCTCAACCACCTAACCAAATCCTCCTCTACACATGAGCTAATGATAAAACTATGCCAAAAGAGCTTCATTTTTAATGTAATGTTTGTTATGAAAATGCAAAAACTATTAATCATACGATGCTATCAACTATTTCTCCTTGGGCATGAATACAAGATGTGGAAGCGGATTTGGGTTAAGGCGAGGAGCATGAAACCACAGGACTCCAGGGACCTTGGGACTGGACAGGGCAGTCCTAAATGAGGACAAAGTACCGGTGGAACAGGTGGCCTTGCCCAGACAGGACCACTGAAGGGCAATTCATAATGTGTTTTTCCAGCTGGTCCTGGCCCAGTAAAGTGTCTAGAAAGCAGTTCTTCTCAGAGTGGGGCCCGTGGTCCATCTGCATCAGAAATGCTTGGAAACGAGTTTAAATGCAGACTCCTGAGCCTCTAGCCAAGTGATACTTCTGCAGTGCAGTGTAAGAACTGCTGCTGGAGAGATCAGACACCCTTCAAGAGGGAGAAGTGTCAGGAAGGATGACGTAGAGGGTGGGCAGGAAACGTGCACAGAAAGGGGGAGACCTGATTGCCCAAGCCACTGCCTTAGTAAGAGTGGTTTGGTGGGGGCGGAAAAGGGTGGTCAGGTGAGAATCTCAGGCCATCATCTCTTGTACTATCTGGTCACCTCTCTGCTTCCTCTTCCTCCTGCCCACCACTTCCTGAGTCGCTGATCACCCCAGCCCACCTCAGCAGCTCAGGAGCCCCAGAAGCACAGGATGTGGAACCATTGCCCCAGAGAACCATCACGTCCCACGTTACCCCCTCTGCCTAGACTCTACCCTGCCTCTGGATGTGAGGTTTCAGCTGAGGTTCTGTGAACCTGCGAGGGCTGTGGTCGGAGCTTCCAAACCTCCAACCTGGATAGTCGCTGTAAAAATTCTTGGGGTCTGTATGCAGTATAGAAAAAGCCCTGAAGGGGAAAAGATAACTTAGCGTAGAAACTAACACTAAAAATGTGCAAGTCAATTCCCTAAATTCACTACTACTGTTGTAGAAAAGGTGAAAAGACGACTTCTAGGCAGGACTGTTGTCCAGTTCCTCGCTGTGATCCAGGTCCTCCACGATGCAGAAAAGGTGCAGGCTCTATCACCCCTCTAACGACAAGTCAGAGGCGTGAGGGAAGGGCAGTCACATTTCATGATGACTAATCAACTTGCCGGAATTGCTACTTGCAGTAGAAAAGTTTCCCAGAGAAATCATGTTATTCTTTTTTTGACCATTCTCCAGAGGAAGGCAAGTACGAGCAAGACATTGAACCACAGTGCATTTTGTTTTCACAACACACCATTGGTTGTGCATTACCAATGCCTCGTTAGAGATTCTTACTAATTTTTCAGGACATTTAGTAACTAAAAGAGAAAAAACAAATGTTATGTCAATGGAGCTAAATATAGGTGATATTAAATATAACGCAAATTAGAGGATGGCACACAGGGTGTACTTTTCAAAAATTCCATTATTTGTAGTTAGAGATTTCTGATTCATTCATATTAAGATGGGTTATAAATTTGTAGATTCATGGTTACTAAACTGGGTTAAACTGACACACAGTGTTCCTTGAAATACTAATCATTTTAGACTCTTCATCCGGATTTATGTAATCTTCATTTCCGGTCCCTAATAAATCACCAGAGTTCTATAGAATAAAAAACAGCTCCTCAGAGTTTCACAGTCTCTCTGAGATCTGCAATATCCACTAATAAAGAATAAAGATTATGCTTTTCTATGAGGAAGTAATAATCTCCTGTGTTAGTTTCCTTTGCTGCTGTAACAAGTTATCACAAACTTAGTGGCTTAAAACAATACAAATGTCTTATCTTATAGTTCTGGAGGTGAGAAATCCAAAATAAATATCACTGGGCTAAAATCAAGATCTCAGCAAGACTATGCTCCTTCTGGAGGCTCTAGGAGAGAATCAGTTTCATTGCTTTTTCCCAATTCTAGAGG